ACATAGCAGGTTATCGATACAGTGGCTTGTTTGAAATTGACAGAGTGTTTGTTACTTGTCTTCCAGACCATTCAACTCTTATTTGATCCCCATGCAATCTCTCTGCCCAGAGCTCTCTCTCTCTCAAGTTGTTGTCAGCTGTTTTTACCCAAGCTAGGTACTCAAGACTACTGGAGAGGCCCTGAGGCCTGCGGGTGCTGGCAGAGAGAGACTCCTTTGAGAGGCCACTGTCCCCAGAGTAACCTTTGGGCAAAATGAGCTTGCACCCAGGTCAACCTGTTCAAACCAGTTAGTAAACCTAACCCTGCCACTCACCAACATTTATTGCTGGCCTATTATGCACAAAGCATGGCACTTGATGCCCTGTGGCTTCCCACTGAATGCACAATTGGTAGGGTTCTGTGGAGGTAAGACAGATCCAAGTGTGAGTCCTGACTGTCCCACTCCTCGGCTATGGAACCTTGGCATGTTGCTCAAACTCCTCAAGCCTCAGTTTCCCTTGTGTACAAGGAGCATAGCAGTGGCTCCTATCTCACAAGGTTGTGGGAGCTCTGAGAGGCCACACATGCCATGAACCTGGCACAGCCCTGGGTCCTACTGAGCTCAGCGTTCAGAGTAGATGTTCCTGGAGCTGCAACCCCCATGCCAGCAGGTGGCACACACTGGAGGTACCACTAGCAACGCCTTGGGCCTCATAGGTGCCCCACAGTGCCTGGAATGTCACACCTTGTGCAACACCTCCAAGCTTCAACCTGTGGTCGGAAGCCCAGTGAGAGGCAGCAGCTTCCCAGGAACTGGCTTCTGGGTCCTGCCCAAACTCCACTTGCCCGCTGGTCTAGCTGCCACACCCTACTCAGGACCAGGACTCTCCCCAGTGCAGAATGGGGACTTTGTGTGGCATCTGGTTCTGGAAACACTACTTAGCCTATTCCTTGGCACGGGACCTGCAGGGCAGGTTCGCAAAAGCATGACACATGCTTAGATGCCCCTAGCGCCTGCTCCTTCTGCTTCTCAATTTTGCCATCTGCGGATCAGCCGCCCCCTCTTCCCCTTCCAGCCCAGGGGTTCTCTTCCCTTCCCTGGCCCCACAGGTTGCTTCAAAGAGTGGGACTTCCTAAGAGGTGTCCACCTGTCCTCTTCATTTGTTGGTGATGAGAACAGCTTCCTTCCTGCCAGAGGGGTCAGTACTGATACCCTAAGGATGAGGCTCTGCCCCCACGCAGGGTTCCCCGGTGTTCTCATGCTGGACCCGCTGAGGGTTCTCCAGGGAGCCCACCCTGAGCATTTGGACCATGAGGACCAAGAACACAGAAGGGAGGGCAGTTTCTTTTCTACATGTCACTGCAGCAGGATACAGTCACTGCCACCAACGCTTGGAGCTTGGGTTGAGCAAGAACAGTCTGCCCCCGCCCTAGACCATTTCCCCAGTAGTCAGACTAGAGGAGACAGGCAAACTCCAGCGTCCAGGGGGACTGACTCCATCTCCTGCTAAGCGATTTTTCTCTGGTTCTGACCTCCACTCTGTTCACCAGTTCCCCAGAAACTGACTGCAAGTGACCTGTGCCCTTTATCCACACAAGCAAGGTTTGACTACCTCCCCTTCTTGTTGTTTACCCGCTTGGGAGCTGGACTTCCCTGTGGTATGATGTGGCCCCCCGAGATCTGGGAAGCTGGAGAGACAAAATGAAGAGGCTGCAGTTAGGGGGGAAGAGGGAAGAGGAAGCACAAGGCAAAGTCTTGGCTCCATTGTGAATCCCAATTCCCCCAGGGGCAGCTGAAGGGGAGCTGGCAGGCCTTTCTGTCCCCATCTGAGATAGGGGTGGGGCAGGAAAACCAAAGGTGAAGCCAGTCATAAGCCAAGGGTGAAGGGAAGTCATACAAGCAGGTGGTAGGTTGGGTGGTGGGTGGTGGGAGAGGCTGGCTGTGGGCAGTGCTACCTCAGGAGAAGCCTAGAATTGGCTGATTAGTACCAGGGAACAAGGTGGGCTATTTGGGGCTGCCTTCAGAATTAAGCTACCTCCATCTTCCCCTCATCATGAAGGAATTCCCCCACCTTCTCTTCCTCGTTAAACCCACTCCCACCCATCTTCCCCTTAACAGTGTGGCCTCTGCTGGGTTTGGAGAATGACTAAATGACCCAGTGAGGCCTTGACAGCTGCGGTGTGTGTTCATTGTCCTGACATAACTTATTAACAACACCCCTGTCACACTCAAAGTCTCCCAGTTTGGACAGTAAATTATATGGCCACTGTCTCTAGCTCACCCAGAAGGCACGGATGCAGGACAGGGTGAAGAGGGGATTAGAGAAAAGCATGACTGGAAGCAATGCCCTGTGGTCCAGAATGACAGCCAGGCTAGTTTCTGCCCAGCTGGATCCTCTCAGAACCGGATGGTAGCGAGCAGACAGCTGAGAACAGCTGCCCCTCCTGGTGCTCACACCATCTCAGGGAAAAGGTCCAATATGATGGGTTCTGCTTCCTGTCATCCCTCAGAGGGCCTAGCACCAAGCTGGGTGCCTCAGAGTCTCTTAACCAAACCTTGTCATTTCCTTCCTTCCCTCTACCTGCATCTAAAACAGACTTGCAGCAGTGACAGAAAGCTGGGGGGCTAGAACTCATCCCGTCCAGCAACAAACTGGACCGTCATCTGAGCTCAGACTTTCGGTGCTCCTGACTCTGTCCTTCCGGCTACCAGAACCCAACTGCTAGACAAAGACAACAGCAGGTCTCTAGCAGAGGTTCCAGAAACAGATCTCAGTCGAGTTGGCCACTATCTCCTAAGGATATGGGGTGCAGAACTGAAGAGCTGGAGCTTGTCTCCTGCTTGGATAACTATTTGGTCTGGCCCCTCAGGGGGGCCAAACATGGAACACACTGGCTTCAGAAACTGGGTACTTGCTCTGAGATTGGGGGGTGGAGGTCCAGGGGTTCCTCTTGGTGCTACTTCCGGGACTTAATCCCAAAAGGAGATCAGTTCTGAGGTGGGATGGGAAGAAGACTGAGAAACCACAAACACGAATAACCAGGGCACCTCAAACTGTACCAGACCTTCCACAATGTTTCTACAAATAAAGTATGAGGCCCTTGACCAAGGTGCTGTGAGGGTTCAGGAAAGCTTCCTAACTCTCCTTCCCTCCTTTCTTACCTCACTCTTCTCTTATCCTACATTTTTTCTCTTCCCTCCTTTCTTATTCTTTACCCTGGAAAAGGTCCAAGTTGTGGCTAATGAGGGAATAATCAAACTGAAGCCATGGGACCCCACCAGAGTACAGACTGTGAATCCCCAGCATTTTGCAATTTGAGTCAGCCCCACAGCACAGCCTGGTTGTGGGCTCATTCCATACAGGTCCAGAGAGGCTGCTGAGTGGATGCAATGGACTCAGAGCCTCCTATTTCTGCTCAAGGATCTGAACTACCCAAAACAAAAGCCAGAGAGAAATTTACAGTCTTACTACCTCCTGGTCTGGCTGCATACCATTCGAGAAGGATCCTCAATCCCCTCCAGCACTTAGACAGGGAAGGGACGAGGAAGGCCCCCCCACCCCGCCAATACACAACATTCGAAATTCACAGAGTTGAGGTTCCCGTGCCCAGACTATTCATTTCCACCTCAACACACACACACACACACACACACACACCCCGCCAGCTTGGCTTAAAACTTTCTTTGACAAGGCCATGGCTTCCCTAGTCCTAGAATCTTCCTGAATTCTTGTGCACACCCACCTTATTAACAGAGACGGGCCACTTACAAGATCACTAGGCAGACATGGAATGAGAAGCTGGAAGTCTACGGAGCTGGGATGTACCTCCTGATCCTTGGAGAAGGATAAGAGATGTGGATTTACCACAAATCCACAATCTCTTCACAGTCATACCATAGCGATCCCATAATCATTGCTGTGTTAGGTGTCCCCGTCACAGGAGTGGCTGCCACAGGCCACGAGGAAGACAGCCTTCCAGCAGGGAGCTGGAGTGGCACTGACTCTGCCTAGGAGAGCTTCTGCAATGCTCAGAAAATGCCTGCCCAGTTGCTTGCCTGGGCTCTGGCCCCTCTGGCTGCAACTGAGCCCAGACAGGAGGCTGACTCACTCACCGCAGGGAGGAGGAGGAAGAGGAGGAGGAGGAGGAGGAGGTGGAGATGCGGGAAGGGCCTGTGCTGGGAGATTCAGTGCTCTCCCAGCCCAGACAGCCTGGGTCTCAGCCTCAGTGGTCCATGGGGGAGGGGGCAGTGTCCACTGCTCCCTCCAGACCCATGTTATTCTCTCCCAGCCACTTCTCCTGAATTCTCCCCCACCACTCACAGATGTGGGATCCCTCACTCCCCAAACAGAAAAACTCCCTGAGCCCCCTCCTCAATGAGATGTTTGTCCTTAAGTTCCTCTCAACATCTGTGGATGGGCTCTCCTGAAAAAATAAATCCAGTGCATTAGGGCCAACTAAGTCTAAAATCATCGGTGGTTGAAAAAGGAAAAGAAAAGAAAAGAAAGAAAGAAAGAAAGAAACAAAACAAAACACCACTCTACCTAAAAGATCCAACTCCACCATCGCAGGTGACCCTACATAGGTCCTAGAAGATGATAAGGTCACACGCACCCCACCTCCAGGAGACCTCAGCACCATCGACAGCCAGTCTCCCCTTCTCACCCCTCCACTCCACGCCAAGGCTCCCCAACAGAGGAAGAAAACAAATGCTTCTTGTTGCCCAAGTACGGAGAGCTGTGCTAGCAAGAATTCGTGTGTTAAACTCCCTGAGCACCGAGGAGGTCGCTGCTCCTCTCGCCAGCCTGGCACGGACTTTAGCTCTTCCTCAGACCTCAGGGTCCCGTCAGTGCCTCAGCCTCATGGCACGACAGCCTGGATCTCAGGAGCCAAGTTTGCCCCTGCGATGTAGACTGTCGTGCTTGCACGCGGGCACTCAGGGCCGGTACCCCCGACGCCCCTCTCCCGGACCCAATCCCGATCGCGGGTCCCCCTTCCCCGCCGCTCCCGGCTCCGCACCTGGTCCCGCGGGTGGGCACGCTGCTCCGCGCTCCCGGCGCCTCCCGCTCGGCAGCTGCCTTTTGACAAGCAAAGACAGCCCAGCACCTGGCCCCGCCCCTCTCGAGGCCCCGCCCCCAGGCCCGCCCCTTCCCGTGGCCCGGCCCTGAAGACCTGACTCGCCCGGCGAGAGCGCTGGCGGCGCTGCAACCATCTTGACTCGGAATCAACCACCGGGAGCTTCTGCCCGGGGCTGTCCTCCGCGACTGCGGTGCCCAGGGCGGGGCTTGCTTTTGTCCTCGGTGCGTGAGAGTTTTGCGTGGTTATGTGTGTGCAGATCCACGCTGTGCCCGCGTTAATCGGTGTTGCATTCGCCCACCTCCCGCCGCCGTGGTTCTACCCAGCCTGCTGCGGACGCCTCTCCCAGGTGCGTCACCCCCACCTGGGCAGACCCGACAGGGACGTCGTCATCTGCCGGGCTGGGGGCGCCTGTCGCGGGCACCGTCGGTTCTCTCTGCGCAAACCTCCGTCGCAAACCTCGTCGAAGCGAGCTTAGTCTCAGCTGCCCTGGGCCCTGTACCCCGCCATCCGTCCCATATGACACTGGTGTGAAGAGAAGAGAGGAGTTAAAGAGTGTATCATGAGACCTGGAATTGTAGGTAGACGGGGAAAACACGCCATAGGAAATTTTGCCTAGGAATTACAGCGCTTCCTTGGCTATGTGCTAGGCACCACTCTAGATGATAGAGGAGACATGAAAAAGATGTGGTCCCCACCTTCTTAGAGCTCACTGTCCAGTGGAGGAATGTACAAAGAAATAGACATTGCAACATAATATTCTATAATGAAGATACCCCCAAAGCCGTCCAGCATTTGGCCAGCTCCTTTGGGAAGGGGAGGAAACATGGCTCAGAGGGACAAGCTGAACAGGTGGAAAACTGAGGCATAGCGAGGTTAAATGGCTTGCCCGACATGGCATAGCTCTTCAGTGAAGGATAGTACTAGTCTGCTGGCACCATAGGCTCTGAACCATTTATGAAACAGTTATGCTAGACTATATGATAATCAGCCCCTCTCAAACTCTCAACAAGTGGATTTAGAGAAATGGACAGAGGCTAAGCAGAACGAAGAAACTTCAAACAGCAAAATTTGTTAAGGGGCACTGAAACAGTTCACGAAGAGAAACTCATGGAAACTTTCCCTCTGGAAAAGTTAAAAAAAAAAATAGAAGAGACTCAGACTGGTTGAACTTGGGAATGGACCATCTATTCTGAAAAACAGATGAAAGGAAGAGCCCCTTTGGAGGTCCTACCAGAGTGATGGATGGATTCCTGGCTTATCATGAAAATAAAAGAAAGAATCCCCTTGCCCGAAGCATCGTGGGAAGGAAAATATAAGAGGAAATCTCTAGGGACACCTGGGTGGCTCAGTGGATTAAGCATCTGCCTTCAGCTCAGGTCATGATCCCAGGGTTCTGGGATCGAGCTCTGCATCGGTCTCTCTGCTCAGCGGGGAGCCTGCTTCCTCCTCTCTCTGCATGACTCTCTGCCTACTTGTGATCTCCGTCAAATAAATAAATAAAATCTTAAACAAAAAAAAAAAAAGGAGGAAATCTCTAACAACTAACATCTTTGGGCATTCTCAGAAAGTTCCATGAACCTCTGGAAGAAGTCACGTTTGCGGTGCTTAATTGGCCAGATGAGGGAACCTGGCAGCTCGAAAATAAACCTTATCAAAAAGTGGTAGAAGATGACTACTGAGTATTCATTCTACAGTCACTGACTGTTAGTCTCTTCTCACAGCTGTTCGTCTGATGTTCATCAAAGTTAGGCAAAGTAGAAAATACTCTCCCTGTTGTACCATGATGGGCAGAGTTGTTAAGCTTCTTGCAGTTGGGGAGTGACAGTCACTTGAACCCAGGTCTTCTCTCTGCACTTTCCATTGTTTCACAGTGCTGCTCAAAAAAAACCCAGTTATTTCCATGGGCTTTTCACCTGTTGGACCGCCATCAGATAACCCAGATTTGTAAATTGTAGATGTCTTCAGAGTCCCCGGCATGCACTGCTGTGAGCCCCATCACTTGGCCCTAACCTGGTTTTTTTAAATCTTCCCCCAATACCTGATCTGCTATCTCTCATCTGTCCCTGCAGCCCTATCCTCTGTCTGGCTCCGTCTCTCATATAAGACCTGCCGTGACATCTCTAGGCCAAAATGACTGTCAGTTCTCTGGTCTTTGTAGCATGTACTGTCTGTATGACATGCTTCACCAGGCAATAATGAGCCAGCTTGTATGTATATTGAACAAAGATGGATCTTTAACCTCAGCTTTCTTCTTAGAAATGCTGTTTCGTGAAAGTAGAAAAGCAAGAATACATGACATTCACTTCCCCCAGTTTTGTTGTCATCAGTAATTGGCTCCTGATCCTACATTGCCCTAGCCAGGGACTAGGAAGAGTGGTTGTTCTTCAGAACCTGTTCTCTTGAAGACTTTGGTGATGGTCAGCCTCCCTAAGCTACACAATAGCTTTTAACTCCTCTCACTTGACTGAATTTGATACGTGTTCTAGAACCTCTACAGAAAACACTCATTTTCTCTTTCTTTTCCCCGAAGTTCACATTTCTCATATTCTCACTTGTGCCCCCCGCAGTGTGAGGGGGTGGGGGGTGGTCCTTAGAGGGTGTTCACATTGTGCTTTTGTCAGTATTCATCTCTGCAAAGTTACATCAGACAACATTTCATAGGCATTTGCTGTGTGAAGTTGCCGTGCTATGGTGCCATGGACCCAAAGATCTGTAGAGAAACAAAAGAGCCCTTCCAGGTGTGAACTGCCTGCAAGGGAAGATTCCAGAAGTGCCAAGCTGAGGTTACCCCTGTGCATTTCATTTCCCAAAAGCTGGGAAAGGCAGAGCCTAGCCTCTTGATCTCTATACCAGACTCCGGGTGGCTTGCCGGGCCTCAGCGGATGGACTTCCCTTTTTTTCAGGCTGTTCACTCACCTTGAGGCTGGCTGGCATTCTCTGACCTTCTTGCCATGGGGCCAGAGCTGGAGTGGATCATGTTGTCCCTGTGAGGTTCCAAGAGACCTGGTCCCCATGGACAGAGGATTATAAGCTGCCCAGAGGCAACACTCCTGGTAAAAATACCCCTCTGAACTTGCTAGAGCACTCCCACCTAACTATTTGCTTTCCCATTTTCTAGGGCCCTTTCCCCCCCCCTTAAATATTTTAGAGTTATGAGCATGGTGGAAATGAAGGGAGGACTCTCAGCAAACTCCCACAGAACATTCTGAGAGACAGAGATTCACAGATACATAGAGACAGAAGCCACCAGTCATCCTCTCAGTTCCCTTGTTTTAGAGAGTAAAAAACATGAAGTTTAGAAAGGTAAACTCATTTGTCTTTTCTAATCCATGCTAGCAATGTTCACTCTGTTTATGTTCTAGATGGTGGAAATGGAATGAATAAATGGAAGCAGCTGTAAGCAGAGAAGGCAACCTGAACAAAGGTGTTTGTTTTGTTCCCAGGACAGTGTTTTTCAAATTTTTAACTACAGTCCACAGTAAGAAACCATTTTTGTCATGACCTAGTATATCCATGCATATGTGTAAGTTTTATGAAACAAGAGATGCCCTGTAAGATTTTCTATTATTTCCCCCACCCTTCCTTCCTCCTTCCCTCCCTTCCCTTTTTCCTCCTGCCCTCCTTCCATCCTGACTTCCTTCTGTCTTTCTGTTTTTCTTTTCGGAATCCATCAAACTGACTTTACAACCGACAATGAGTTGTTAGCCTGAGGTTGGAGAAGGCCCTCTCACGATGGGGTCCCCTCACTTGGAACCTGCACCATGAGATTCCCAGAAAGGCCTTTGAGAGAGAGCTTGGCTTATACAGAGCACCCTCAGAACCCTGGAGTGAGTCCTGGTGGCTCCAAGGCTTTGAAGGCTTCTGTCTCCAAGGCCACATAGTCAGAGTTAGGTCACTAAGACAGCATGTATCCACTTACTTTTTGTGGCCTTTAGCTCAGCTGCCTTACCATTCTCCTATCATTTCCAGCTTCGAGGGGTTCTTTTCACCTGGAAGTTTTATGGCATCTCAGAAAACCTGACTTCTCCAGAACAGCACAGCTCTGGAGGATTCGTGAGCAATGCCGTAAGTCAGTGGCTACAGAGTTGTCCTGCCCAGGAAGAGTAGGGCACTGATGGTTATTCAGTCCAAATTCATCTGGCTCCAGGGCTCCATTCCCAGTAGCCCAGCTCATGTCTCCATCACCGGGGCTTTTGGCGCTTGTCTTTCCCACCTGCTCCCACATCCTTGAGCCCTAGGCTGCCAGTGGCCCACACACAGTGTCTGCTGGCATGGTAAAGCAGAGCCTAGGGGCCGGATGAAGGAAGGTATGGACTCCCACCTGCACCCCAAACAGAGGCAGCTGCAGAGCTCTCCCAGCCTCCCAGGTATTTGCTGGGCTCCCATCCAAACCCCAGCAGACAATGATGACTCTTCAAGCCTCAACTCCAACCATGGAGACCAGCAGAATAAACTAGAAGCTCAGGGTCCTTTCCCACCTACAGTTGCCTGTGGCTGTAAGTTTTGCAACAACTACAATTACCCTAGTAGGAGATAAAGAGACCCCTGGCCCTTCATCCTCTGAAAACTTATTTTGCTCCTCTTGGGAGGAGTATCTTGTGAGAGAGCCTTGTAGGGGAGGTATATGGAAGGCTCCATGGTGGTGGAGTAGGCCTTGGGAGCAGGTGAGAACACGGGCCCAGTTACATCAATCCTGCAAAGGTCGGTAGGGGAAAGCTGACTGTTGTCCAAAGAAGCCCCGCTTGCACAGAAGGGAGTCCCCTAGGGCAATTAGGCAAAGAGCTCCTTTCCTTCATACCCATGAGCAGAAGCCCCACAAGCCTCATCCTGGGCACGCCTGCTTCTTTCTCCAGAAGGGCAGGAAGGATGTTCCGTAAGCAGTCCAGGAATGCATTAAACAACTCTCCCCTGAGGCCCCAACTCCAGAAAGATGTGGCTGTTGACAGCTCTTCTCCTTTGCCTTTGGCCTCTGGCCTAGGACAAACACTGCATAGCATGGATGCCCCTTTGTTGTATGT